TATGGTGAGGATCCCTCATACCTGATCATTCCTGCTTCACAATTGAGTTGTACTGCACCCAAATTTAGGCTAACTTACCTCCCTGATCCCTGTCATCTCTTAGACCACACTTTTAAGCAGTTAACCCTACGTCATGAGAGCTGGAATGCAATCTAGTGCTCCAAGTATTAACTGAAAAGTACTTTCAAATGTTTCTAAAATGTCATTTATGCTTTTTCTTTTCTTTAGAAGTTGCCATTAAGACATCTATATGAAAATTTTATGCTCCTCAAAAGTATCAAGTTGAATTAGGACTGAACCTTCTAATTGTCTTTTTCCCAAGGGTGCTCAAGGTCAAGAAGGTAAAATTGGATTGCCAGGACCTCCTGGAATTAGTGAGCCAGGATTACCTGTAAGTCAATGATATATACACTGGAAGTTGAACTATAATAAAATAAGTCTTACTGAGAGTAATTGATTGGCAGTAGCTATATCGGCTACCACCTTGTACCTAGTCTGAAGCAGCAGAAGCAGGTTCAGCTATGACAGCTCAGTATTGCAGCAATAGCTGTGTCTTGCCCAAGTTGGAGAGTAAAGTCACATACAAACAAATTTTTGGGAAAATAAAAACATTGCTTGGTCCATGTGAACAAAATTGCAGTACCCAGTTTTCCTATATCTGAACTATACTCCTACTTGTTTGAGTTGAGGATAATCTTTAAAAGTTGTCTAAAATAAATTTTACGAAGATGAAAATGCAAGAGCTGAAACATCTCTCAACCTCTGTGAGTTTTTGTGTTCTGAATTACAGAACTTTGGCAAGCTCTTGATTTAGTGCTCACAGGCTGCTTTTTCTTCCTGAAACATATGACATGGGGTTTTCTTGTGTATAAGAAGCTACAAATGTGGATGGGCACTAGAGTAATTCTAATGGTATTTTTGAAAGTCACTTAGTGGTTGTGAAAGGCTATTTTCCCCAGAAAAATATGTGGAAAACTTTTGTTTAATCAAGATCATCCTTAAAAACTATTAAGCTATTTAATAGCCTTAATTAAGGAAAGGTAGCTGAATTTTGCAGAAAGTCAGAAAGTATTCTGAAAATAATTATTTCTGATCTTGTATCTACTTGTATCTACTTTTCACTCTCTGAATTACCTACAGGCATCCTGATATAGTAATCTGACATATTGTTCGAAATATTTTGTAGGTCGTGTTCCTTAATAGAAAGTTCTATGTGGGCTATTTGTGATTTATTTGAAGTAATGTTCCTGGCAAATATTTGCAGCCTGGATTGGCCATTGGCTACAGACTTGTCTAAAACTACTGATTTTTAAAAGTTGTTTTCCTTAGAATTGATTAAGCAAGACCTTTTCTGATAACTTTGCAAGCATTTCTCTTTCTCATATGAGTATACGCTTGCAATTCTTCCTACAAAAGACTGATGCAATTGCAAATGGTACTATTACAAATGTCTGTGGAAAAAAAGAATATAGGTGCAGGAGAGTGGAAGGGGCTTAAAAGACAGAATACTTTATTTTTTACAGGAAGAAAAAAATTAACCAGATACTCATATTTTTGAGGAATGTGTTTATGCAAGCATTGTTTCTTGTAAGTCTATTGATTCAATAAAATTAGCTACATGAACAGTAATTAACCACTTAATATCTCTTAGGGGGAAAAGGGAGATCAAGGTCCCAGAGGCCCAGAAGGACCCCCTGGCAAAGGAGATGTAGGTTAAAAGGTATGGCTTGACATGCACACTGGAAAAATATTACAAACTTTAGAAGGACCTATTTTACAAGGGTTTGGATGCTGACCTACTTTTTCTCTCATTACATCTTAAGTAGCTACTCTGTTTTAACTGATGATTTAAAAGGATTTAAGAGAGAGCAATGTGTTCCATAGCTTGAACAAGTGTAGCAAAATCAGACTATAAATGTAGAACCTTAAGTTAATAGGGTAGTAGAGATTTCCTAAAAATTCAATACAGAGTTTTCAATGAAATTAGGAGGTGACGAATTAGTTCAGTATGTTGAAAGGGAGAGAGAAACTAAGAGAAACTAGGAGACTAGTTAGATATCTGAATACAAAATTAGAAGCCTGGAAAGACGTATTAGTAGACAGACAGGTTTTATCTCCCACCTGGTTAAATTCATGACATTTGAGGCAAATTCTAGAACTGAGTGGGATTTTAGTTGGAGTGGAGCATCTGATTACCTTTCTAATTATGAGTGTCATTATCACTGTGTTTTTGGCTATCTGTGCATCCACAGCTGTGAATGAATCTTAGTTGTGATTGAAAAAGAAGTGTTTGTTTTCATCAGGGTGACCCTGGAGAAAAAGGATCCCAGGGACTGATTGGTCATAAAGGACTACAGGGCCCAGTTGGACCAAAAGTAAGCTTGTTCCTCCATGGTAACCCTTCCCTCTGTACTTTATAAAAGAATCTTTGGAATTTATGTAATGTACAAATTTCTCAAGCATCTAATGCTTTCAGACGTAACAGAACAAAGGAAAAGCAGAAATATTTCCATCCTCTGTCTAAAAGAAACAGAGGTCCCAAGGAGAAAAACAATACGTAAACATATAATTACATACCTTATAGTTATGTATGAGCACTGATGAGCTAAATTAAAGTTGTCCAAGTGATTCTAACCAGTTGTCCTACTGAGTAAAATAGGTGGATTCAGCAAGAGTATATCTGAGTTTGAAGGTTTTAAAAACTTTTGAAAATTCACTGCTATTTTAAGAATAAAGTAGTTACTCTTGTTATAATGTGTCAGATAACTTCAACTTTTATTGATGCTTTTCAGCTTTGGTGTTAGTTTTTAGAGAGGACGAATCACTAACCTACATCCTAACACTTCGAAGTAATTTCATCCCCATTTATCTTCTTCCTTAAAAATATATGTGCACCCACACAAAAGTAAATGAGGGTATTGCACATACAGTATACTCAGTCTGGCTCTAGGACACCACAGAGTGCTGTGATGTGGTTTGTACTTGTTTGTGCGTGGAGGAGGAAGAAAGAAAGGAATGCAAAAAGCTCAGGGTACACCTGAAGTTAAAAGGCAAACACAGAAAAGGAGACATGGAGTGCTCCTATCTCTTATAATGGTTTCAAACCATAATAATGTGCCAAATTTTATGCCAAGTGGCATGCTGTAAGGCATGACTTGTATGAAGACAGGTTTCACTACACTGGCCTCACTTCTTCACATTTTTCCTGTTGCTGTGACATTTTTTAATAGACCAGTAAGCAGGTCAAGATTGTTCACTGATAAAACTCATGCTGAAAAATAACAAATTTTCAGACTTTTTTGCCTTTTTCACTATGACTTTATTCTGTTCAATACAGTTCATATCACTTTTATAGCAGATGGGCCATGATCCAAAATCCACTGAAGTCTGTAGGAGTTTTTCCAAACCCTTTACTGAATTTTAGACTAGTGCTTACATATGCAGTGGCTGATGAGAGAAAACAAGTGTTTTGGGTAATTATAAAATGCAAGCTGATTTTTCGAAAATATATAAAACTTTGTCTCTTTAGCTCCATAATAATTTCTCGGTTTTAACAAGTATCTACTGTGTTTCTGACTGTTGATAGTAATGTAACAGGTTTGTTTTCTCTTTCCACTCTGGAAATACAATGGTAACTAGTAATTGGGATCCTGAAACATCCTGATATGTGCAGTAGAAAAGAAAGACATTGTAAACTTCTAATGCAAGGAATGTTTTTCAAAGCTGGGAGTTACCATGGTTTGAGGTCTTTTTAGGACATCTCTAAGTGTTTGAGGTAGTAGTGGGTGATTGCGAGAGGTCTTAACTCCTGGACTGCCATGGTTGCATCCATCTGTGGATGATCAGTGACAGGACCTGAGGGAATGGCCTAAAGTTGTATCAGGGGAGATTTAGGTTGGATATTAGACAAAGGTTCTTCACCCAGTGGGTGGTTGGGCACTGGAACAGGCTCCCCAGGGAAGTGATCACAGCACCATCCTGACAGAGTTCAAGGAGCATTTGGATGGTACTCTCAGGCACATGGTGTGACTCTTGGGGATGGTTCTGTGCAGGGCCAGGAGCTGGACTTGATGATCCTTGTGGATCCCTTCCAACTTGGCGTGTTCTGTGATTCTGTGGTTGGAAGTTCATTTATTTTAAGCTACACCCACCTTTGGGGGCTGGAGTTTTATTTCCCTTGACAACCATTATGCTGTTACTAATATGGAGACAGTAACATTAGAAAGCTGTTTTTTCTAATATTTTTTTCTCATGGTTACAGCTGCTCAGTGATTGTGATAGAATATTTGATCTGTGTTCCCTAGTGAATGTTTCCTGAAATACTGCCTGTCCTTCTCACTAGTGTGAAAAACTGTAAATGTTTAATTGAAAATTGAAATTTTCTTTTTAAGTTCCTTAATGTAAAGTGAAACATCTGTTGTCATAGATTAAACACTAGAAGGAGACAAATTTTGCTCTGTGAAGGGATAACATAAGGAACATGAATTCTAAGGCTGATTGCTTTCCAGGAAAGCCACTGACAGAGCTAAGATTTCGAAACAGTTGAATTGGATAATATTTGAGGAAAACTCAAGTTTCTCCTTGAGTCTTCAGACTGTGGAGCTTGCAATTGTGAAATGCTGCACCACTGCATCTATAGGTTTTCTAAACATGCTCTGTGTCAGCACTTGTCTTTGAATTTCCTTGCTGTTCTCTATGTGCTTTGGCAGAAATGAAGTCATGCAGCCTTGCTGGTGTGAGCAAAAGCAGGCAGAAGCCACAGGTGCATCTGGCCTCTGAAACTGAATTATAATATTCACCCTTCAGTTGAAAACTAAAGCCATCAAGTTATTCAAAAAGGCAGAACAAAATCTTTTACATAGTTGCAGAGTAACAAAAGTATAAGATAGGTCAAATCAAGGTAGTAAAATATTTCTTTAGAAATACTGATTTTGTATTACCTAACTCAAGAACTGTCACTGTCAGAAAGACTTGAATACTTGTTCTTTTCTGTAAAACTTTGGAAATGACTGCTGAATATACTGAATATAATTTTGAATTTGTTTCTTTTTGGATAGGGGGATCCAGGACCCAAAGGCTCACGGGGAGATGATGGACTTCCTGGAAATTCCATAATGGGACCAATGGTAGGAGTTTTTAGACAAAAGATGGAAAGTAAATAAACATGAGACAAATGCAAAACTCTTGTAAAATATGCACACCACTTGAATGACTTTAAGATAGGAACTCACCAATTCTTCAACTTTTCCATCACTCCAGGTTAAGTCTGTTTTAAAAATAAACATTACCTTTTCAAAGAAGAAACACAAAATAGTTTCTCACCCTGGAAGCTTCCCACAGGAAGTGTTCATTAGGAAGGTAGTTCTTCGAATTCATCTCCACCTGTCATTAGCTCATGTGGTCTTTTATAGCTCTCTATGGGCAATATGCTCTTTATTGAGTATAAACTAAGAGTTAATAGTTATTTTAACAGTATTTCAGTATAACAGCATTTCAGTATTACAAACCTTGCACATTCAAAAGCACAAGCAAGACCTAATGTAAAGAATTTTAAGAATAGATCTTTTGAAAGTACTTCTGTGTATGTATATTACAGAATAGGATTTACTTGATTATGTCCTTTACAACTTTAACATCATCACCAAGAATGAAGTACAGTAGACTGTAGCAGGATTGCTGTGCTCACTGTTGTAGCCTTTAGTGATTAAATGACAAGATCAACACCCAAGTGAAAGACCAGAGATGAAACTGAGGATCCAGAATTAACACAGACAGAGATTGCAGACTTTACAAAAGTAAGAGAATGAAAAGTTCTCTTCTGTAGAACAAACATGAGTTTGTACAAAGGCTGCTTGAAGAGTAAGGTAAGATCAAGGACCATCCTATTGTCCTTAAGAAATAACTTAGAATTTAGATAAATTTACAAAAAAATAACATTTATGGTGTTTTATCACTGTTGAAAAGTAAATTGAAATTTTCAAGGAATGGTTCTCTCTCTCCTGTTTTTTTAAGTGGTAATAATAGTTCAGGATGATTGTTAGGTACAAAAAGTTATGACTGCCTTTTCTCCTTGAATAATACATTATAGTTATCAACATGGAATTTGGTTGATATTTTAACACCGAATTACCAAAACCCTTAAGTAGGGTTTTTCCTTGACTCCTTGGAATTGCCTTTCATTTAACTAATCAGAATAATAAGGCAGCATTAGATAACCATGCCACTCACATTTCTACATTATTTAAGAGTAAACTGAAAAGAACACTCCCTAGAACTGATCCTAAGTCCTCTACTGCAAAAACTGAATATATTTCCTTGTACTTTGCAGCTTTCACCTCCTCCCCACTTAACACAGTTTATATCGTATTGAACTTCCATCAGTTGTAATATGGGTTGTAACTTTCTATAAGCCTTCTGCCACTTATAAGGGAATAGTTCAGGGAACTTTCTTTGTAAACCTCTTTTTTTTTTTTTTTCCTTTTCTTTCCACATTTATCATGTCTGCACATAAAATATTCTGCTCAATCCATTGATTCACTTTGTGCAAATACAGACGATAGACTCAAATTCAGAAACCAATTGGTTTATGTGTACCTAACACAATGTAATTCAAAATAAAGCACTTAAAGCACTTTTTTGTGATAACATCTTAGGAATATCAATAATGCTTTCCTCCTGGCTTGACAAGTTTCTGTCAGTACACCTACACCTACCAGAGAATGCTGCACAGCACATTGAATCACATGTAGCATTTATTAGTAGTATTTATTTTTCATTTTAAAGAACACTAGATTTATTTACTTTGTCTATAATCTAGAATATTACTGTGTTTTTCTTATACAAAGAAGTGATGAACATTACTTAATTGTCCAGTCATATATTTAAACAATTAGATTTTGTTATAGCAGATGATTTTTTCTTAGTAATGACCATGGATGCAAGATTTATGCTTGTATTTTTCTTTCCTTTGAAAGAGTGTAGAAGCAACTATCTCTATATTACTTCTTTAGAAAATTATTTTAAAATCGCCCTGGAAAGGCTGAAAAATAGATTAATTCATTCAGCAGGCCATCTGTGACATCAATGGCACTTGCATTTTTGCCATTGCACCAACTTAGAGTGAGTCACTGTGACTGTCTGTTCCAGACACCACAAAATTCTGTGAAGAAGTAATCACAGAATTGCTCCTAGGCCCTCTCTTGTGTATTTTTAGTGTAACTATTTAAAAAAAACCCTAACAAAATAATCTGGACTAGATAACTGTTTCTTACGTAAGATTTGGGTATAGAATTGGCTTAAGTAGATTTTTAGCATTTATAGATATAAATGGTAAAACCAGACACTTGATAAAATCTCAATTCTTACACAAGAGAATGTGTTAACATGTATTTGGTATTTACAATGGTCTCAAGATTAAATGAAAACATCTGTTTGGCCATTTCTTACTGTAATGGGATTACAAGTACAAGCAGTTATGAACCCAGGAGCAGATAGGAGCCCATGATCCATGTTTTCCTTTCTTGTTAAGTATATTGTTATTAAACATTTCTAAAACATTTCTCATTTTATCTGGAGTTTAAGAACTATGGATATTAAGAATCATGAAGAAGTAAAATTGACTTTCCTTTATAAAGCTAGACCTGGAAACATGCTGATTGTTTAAATTTTTACAGAGCTGGATCAGAATTCCATCATTTGAAAATTAGAAAACATGAAGAAACATCTTCCAGGGCTGACACAGTTTGAATCTGGTGGTCAGGGTCTGTTTAAAGTCTTCCAGTTAAACGATCCCATTGGATCTGAGAATAGAAGTGATTCATACGGCAGTGACTTACTATGTAAATTTTTCTTAAGCATAAGACATGCTTGCATCCCTATTCCAGATTTCATCTTAAAGTAGTTTCAGGGTTTCATCTTAACCAGAACATTGAGTCTTACCTTGCGTTTCTTCATTTACCTACCTCCTCACCTAAACCTGTAATATATGGCTTTAGAGGACCCAAAGCAGCTCTTCCATTTTTCTGACAGGACTAAATTGGTTAAGAAGGTCTGATTGTTTGTATCTATGGTAGAGATGTTCATGGATCAGGAAATTTGGACCCAAAGTCTGTTTTTGTTGGATATCTAACTAGAGTATGAGTTGATTTGTTCTTCAGCCATGGACAATGTATTCAGACAGACCAGCTGCTGAGATCTGAACTGCTAACAGGACTCCATTCTTAGTTTCTTGAAGTATTACGTTGTTGCAGAAATCTACAGATGTGTTACAAGGATGAAACAGCAGTTTTGTTGTTTTTTAGTTTTTTAGTTCCATTTTTCTGGTTATTTGCTTTTACCGGCATAGACAGGGAAATATTTGCTGTTGATATGTACTTGAGGATATGTTATGTGTATGTATATTGACGAGTTGTTTACAACACTCTACAACACCCTTTTGTAGTCTATTAATATTTCTTGGTTCTGTGGGACTTCTCTTCTGGCCCTGAAAAGATGCATAGAGGTTTTGCAGATGCACAAATCTTTAGTGGAAGTCAGTGGAAGAGTCAACAGAAGGAGTGGTTGTCTCTTGATACAAAGCATTTTAGGCTGAACTAAGAGAAATGATCTCTTTCTTATAGCTGGTTGTATTTATTTCTTTTACTATTTTCCCTTGTAGAACGCAGTTTTGCATTACTGTGTGAGTGAACCAATGTGATTACCTGGAAGTGCAAAATGTGTAACATACAACTTAAGGCTGCCATATTATGTTTCAGTATTGTTCAGTTCATTGCTCAAATGTCAGTACTTACCCCCAAATTCATAAAAGTTTAGGTTTTTAAAAATAAATTTAACTTTGTACAGGCTGAAGATAAAGTCAATAGTCTGAAGATTTCTCTCTGCAATCAAACATCTAGAAATTAATAATTTCCTAATAAAAACTTCTTTTCAATCAATTAAAAAAAACAAGTAAAACAGCACAAAAATTCCTGAACTTTGTGAACAAATTGCAGGAGCTACTAACTGCTATTCTCTATTTCCAAAAAGATGTTAAGTAGTTTCCTTACATATTTTTAATATTTGTTATGTTGTGAAGATCGAGTTACTGGCATGATTTCTGACTTACTTTTTTTATATTTAGGGAAACCCGGGACTACCTGGACCACCTGGACCCCCTGGAGCAAAAGGTGATGGTCACAAAGGTGAAGCTGTAAGTACAATTTGAATTCTGTACTTTGTGTTCTACTGGAAAAAAAGAAAATTTCCATGTGATAACTCAATACTTAGTTGCTTAGAATTAGTTACTTAACTAAGTGTAATTAATATTCCTTTAGCTAATTTAAATGTTACACATATATTTTGAAATCCTTTCCTGTCCTAGATACAGTGCCAGTTCTACAGGCAGTCAGAACTGGATATAAACGGTTCTCATTTCAGCATCATGAAAAGGATACCATGTAATTGTATAAAAATCTTTATGACTGCTTATACATGTTTAATATAATCCCTGCTTTGAATTCTTTTCCCTCCCTCCCTTTTCTTTACTGTTCTCTATTCAAGATTTCTAATACCATCTGCTTGTTCAAATTTTGCAGTTTCAGTTCCTGGATTTTTCAGCTGCTTTTCATACTAGGAGGTTAAATCCTCTTATCTGAAGATTTTCTGTCCCTTGCTTTTCTCATGGTTGTCTCCAGAGTGGGTTAATACAGCTGTTTCAGCTGCCAAATTCCATTACAAGGACATATCATCCTAAATTTCAGTCATCCAAACCATACGGACATGTTTACCAGCTTTTCACTAGTAGGTGAAAGTACTGTTGCCGTCCTTCAACCACCACGTCAAAATTCCATTAGCATTATTTATTCTATGTCTCTGATCCAGCATTATTTCAAACTACAATGATGCAGGCACTCACAAATGCGCTGAGGTGGGGCCTGAGTGCTTTGAAATAAGTCATGACTCAGCTCCAATTTCCTATCGTTCAAACTGTTCCTGGGAAGATCCTTCGGGACCAGAATTAGTTCAAAAGGCACTCACTCAGAATGCCTGGTGTAATACCACATACCTGACACATTTCATGTAATGTGTAAAGGTTCTGTTGTGCTGTAACACACATCTTTCCCCTGCTGTTCTGTGCCCCGTGATCTGGAAAGACCAACTTCATAAACCACTGGCAGACAAGATTTATGTAGCTGTCTCAGTAGCATGGTGGGGCAAAGACATCTGCCTTATGAAGGCTGAAAGAGAGGCTGGGAGTGCTCCCAGCAGTATGAAAGGCAGCTGAAGGAGCTGATGAATTGAGTGGGGAGTTCAGGAGAACAGGCTGTCAAACACAAATGCACCCAAGTCTGTTAGTGTCAGGGCTTAAACCATGGAAATTAAGCACCGTGAAGGGTGCTTGCTCAATCCCTCCTTTTTTCCTCCCCCTACCCCAGTGAAATTGGGAGGAGAATCAAAGTAAAACTTTTATGTTGAGAGAGGAACAACTTAAAAATTGAAAATAAAGTAAACAACAATAATAATGGTAAATAATAATAGTAATAATGATAATAAAAAGGAAGCAAACAAGTGGTCAACAAGAAAATTGCTCACTACCCACTAACCAATGCAAGGCTCCTCTTCCTAAACCCAGATTGGCCCCAGATTCTAGGTAACTTCCCCCAGTTTATACACTGGGCATTATGTTCTATGGTGTGGAATATCCCTTTGGTCAGTTCAGGTCACCTATCCCGTCTATGCTCCCTCCCATTGGCAGAGCATAAGACAAGGAAAAAAGTCATTGACTTAGGATAGACATGGCTTAGCTAAAACCCAAAACATCAGCGTGTTGTCGACAACACTCTCTTATGAATCCAAAACACAGCACTGTAACAGCTACACAGAAGAAATTAACTGTACCCAAGCTGAAACTAGGACACAGGGTTACCTAACCCCCAAATTTAGGTGGGTTAGCTCTGGTATTCCAGTTGTCTAATGTCTGCAGTGTATGAATCATGGAGCATTGTCTGCTTTCTCACTGTTTTCTCTGAGCTGAGAACAACTCAAATGTTCTTCAGTCAAGAGCTGTACTTTTTTTCCACCACTCTAATAGTCTTTTTTATGTTTCCGCCTGGGACTGAGGATGGCTGTCACTCAGTACACATCAGAAATGTGAAGAAATTCTCTTCTTTGTTGAAGCATATAAGTAGTCTTCCCTTAGGACAACTACTGACATGCTTTATTCCTCTGCTGTACCAGGGACCTCCAGGACCAGCAGGACCTCCAGGACCAGAAGGTCCAAAAGGCGTGGGAGATGCTGGACCAAAGGTACTTGCACAATAGGAGTACATGCATCTGACTCATAGACAAGGTAGACAAATATCTTCCAAAAATGCATTAGATTAGAATAAAAAAATATGACAAAGTACTGCATTCTCATTTTTCACTTTCCATTTCAGTTAGAAGAAAAGCCAGTGATAGACTTTTCTGACACGATAGAAACCAGTTCTTGCTTTATCCCCAGACTTGATGCAAATCTGCAGATTTTCCATGCATCCAAAGACCCAGAAGGTTTCTAGATGTTGGTGTTTCCATGTGGAATTCAGATTCCGACATAAGCATGGTGTTGCCTAATAATTATGCCCTTTCTTTCTTCTGCGGAAGTGCAAAGCATGAGGCCAAAAGGGAGTCAGGTGTTACATGGAACTAATGAGATATTTTTAAAGTTCCTAGAAATGGATTCCTAAGAGAAGACTATAGACTTTTATCTAAAATTAATGTTTGCTTAGAGACAAAACTTGACAGACAAAACGAAGAAGCTGACAAAGGAATTAGAATAGGAAACAAGCAGTGTGTTGCAGGAGAAAACAAAATAAATATTGCCAAAGAAGTTTTTTTCCCAAACAGAAAGAACTTTTAACTTCAGTTCCCAGAACATGAGAATTCCTATTTAAAATAAACTGCAATAACCTCTTAAAAATATCCACAATAAAGGAAAAACTTAAGGACATTAAGAATTCTATGATTCTATGATTCTTAGAATGACTTGACTGTAGAATTACCACAGAATGGTCTGACACTGGGATCTGAGAAACCTGGCTTTGTGCTTCCATTCTGAATTACTGCATATCAATATGAGGCATTGCACATCAAGTAATGCAAGGCCCATGACACAAACTACTAAAGAACTAAAAGTAATGTCAATTACATTATTCAGGATAAACTTATGGAAAATGCCTACTGCTAAACTAATTAATTTTTTCTGTAGGAGACTGTATCTTTTCCAATTTGAGATATCAGACTCTATATGATATAGTTTTATAATACATTTTTTTGGTACTACAGAAAAATATTTCATTAAAATCCTAGAATCTCATATGAAATTATTATTAATGTTTTTAAAAATGTAACTTATGACTACAAAATGTCTAAGGGTATAATTTCTTCTGGAATTCCTCCTGATTTCCTAAATGTATAATTCTGCAAAGTAATGTTTCTCAAAGAAAAGGAATTGGGAAGTCGTGTCAAGTAATCGAATAAGATGATCTCCCACTACAATGCCATGGTTTAAAGATTAAAAACCCCAGAAATATAAATCAGAATTTCAGTGGGTCTATAGGAGGTGCATATAAAGAAATTTGACTTAAGTCCAAAATGGAAATAAAAGATTATTTTTTAATTGAAAGGAAACCGCTAGAATAATTGCAGTGAAATTTCTCACAGCTGTAAGTTTTAAAATCAATGTTTGTGTTGTGTTTCTGAAAAGTACCACAAATACAAAAGTATACAGGAATGCACTTAGGCAAAAATAGTGCCTGGCTTAAATGAGATATTATCAGAAAGTGGGTCACAAGTTCCTTTTCTTCTTATAATAATGAATTCATAGAATTGCTGGACTGTGTAATTATTAGAAAAGTTCCAGCTCATGGAAGAGATGGAAGTGCAATAGTGTATCATAAAGTGCATTAGAAAGAAGGAGGTAAAAGCTGTAAAGTAAGAGAAAATGTGTCCCGTTTTTGCAGTGGAGGACATGGGATCTAACCTTTTTGTCAGTTGTTCTTAAACCACTGTAAGTCTTTTGATAAAATGTTGAATATATTTAATTAAATAATAGGTTATCTATTATAGTACTTACAGTTTCCAATTTTGGCTCCAAGTAATATAAATTTTTTTCAGTTGGAGAGAGCTGTTCATATTCCTTTACAGAGACATCAAAGACAGAGACATAGAAAGTATTACCATTCCTCAAGGTCTGTGAAGTATATTCATGGTACTGGTAAAGAGATTTATTGGTAGGAATATGACCTGTGTTGAGGTAGTTGAAAATTATCAATTGTACATTATTAATTAGTAATAAATTTGGCAAAAGGCCTGTTACTTTGATGTAGATTTGACTGAGCAAAAGTGAAACAGCAGACACCAAGATGTGAGGCTTGTAATTTCATAGTACTTAATCATGACAGGAAATCATGGCCAGGCTTTGCAAACGAAGATTTGGGAAGGGGCTCTACCCACACTTGCTACAAGCGCGCTGATGGCTAAAAAGGCCAATGCGAGATAGACAAGTCCAGCTGCAGAAGGCACAGCAGAAAGTCTTCTTAGGTAGTATCGGCAAGACACAGTTCTTTCTGCATTGTCTTTTCCCCTCAAGAATGATTCTATGTGTGTTCTCAAAAGCAGCAGCAGCGTTATAGATGGTGTGTCTCCAGGCCTCCTGACTGGAGGCCTGGGAAGACCAACGGTGGTGATCAATATGGCCAAGGCTGAGGGATTGTTTCAGGCAGTCCTTGTATCTCCTCTTCGGGGCTCCTCTCTTGCGGCAACCAGTGGCAAGTTCACCATGGAGCACGATCTTAGGGAGGCGGCAGTCCTTGATCCTGGAGACGTGCCCTGCCCAACGTAGCTGTGTTCTCAACAACAGGAAATAGTATAATGGAATATCTAGTAATAGAAACTCTTATCCTCATCTTAGGCAAAAAGGGGTTTCAATGGTCCCACAAGCCAGGAAGTGGATTTCCTTCAGATGAAGTTAAACTGGATGATCTGATCTGCAAGTCATGTGGGGTGAAATGTATGTTGTTCTATACATAGTGAGCAGCTGTAGCTTTTGCAGTGTATGACTGCTGCACAAAAGCATGCCTTATCCAACAAGGTATAACGTCTCTGATTTCGTTCTTTCTATCCACACCAGACATGGTATAGAGCGCACTGGAAAAAAAGAAACTTTATATATTATATATATATATATTTATATAAATATCTAAATATATTAACTTCTCTTTCCCTGATTTTTTGCTTTTTGAATCCTTAATCTCTGTGTAACTTTTTGGTAGCAAAGGTTCCACAAGGAAGAAGAATTTACTTGAACTGCAAGAATTGCACCAGAACTTAGTACATAAAATGGACAATCTTCTGTTTTTTTCAAATAAAATATAAGTGCACTGGCTACCTCTTATCCCTCTCACATAAAAAAAAAGTGAATATAAAACCAGCAACAATCTCAGAATATAAAAAAGAACATTTATTTGATAAGAGAGACTCATAAATTTACACACTAGTTAATTTGAAATTCCTTTGAGTATCATTATATAGGAATGTTTCACTCATTTGAATCAGAGCTCTGTTCTCTCTTCTTTCAGAAATGACTCACATATGTGCACACTGCTAGACAGGAATTTTATGTATCAGAGGTCAAATTCATGTGAAAACAAAATTGTAACATGTGGGATGCATTCAATCTTGGCAGCAACCTATTTTCTGTAGCATTGAAACAGAAGCACATAATGTCAGAATACAATAAAAAGTTTGATTTAAAAACACTGTTGGCAGCTAGGAGGTGGGTTACAGACATTCAAGAGCAAGAGCCCAGCACTAGAAATAAAGGAAGTAACTAGGTAGCAGAAAGATTATTAAAATCTCTAGCACAGTCCCTAGTGCACGAACATTTGGGTTGAATTCAGTTGCAATATAAAGAACCTTTGCAGCTTGGGCCCTGACTATTTGAACTAAAATGTGGAAAGTAGAGATGTAATATCTTTTTTTATAATATTTTCTTCTTACAGATCCTGTTATATCCATTAGCTGTCACTACAGTATTGCAGGGTCTGCTGTAATTTTGAGTGTCAAATACACATGCTTTACACTAAATGAGGTATATATATTTGGAAGCCAAGATTTACTTTTCAGTGACCATTAGGTCATTTAATGAATTTTTCTTGAATAAATGGTACAGAACAGACATAGAAATCCCATACTTTACACTGTCTTGACTCAGTCCTTTATTTCTTGTTTCAGTGGTGTTTTTCTAGTTCACTGTTTTGCTGATGTTGACAAGCTTGTCTACAAGCACAATGCAGGAAATAAATTAGACCTTATCAAAGAACAGTACTAATCCTTCTTGAAATGAATTCTCTGGAGGACAGTTTAGTGTGACACCTTAGAAAAAAGAACTGCTCCACTTCACAACTCATAAAGCAAAATAAAAGTCTTTTTCTTTAAGCCAAGAAATACAGAAACCTTGAGGATTACTATAAAGCTCTACAAAAGAGCTTTTCAGTGAGACATCTGGTATTAACTAAGCATGTGAGGCTAAAATTCAATCCTTCACCTGCAACGACCCTGTGTTAAGACTGTGTTACCCATGGGAGGAAGAGGCAGATGACTTCAAGTCACCCTTACGCTCTTTATGGTCTCGGCTGGTCTAAGAGCAGGTTGTAGGTATATGGGATACTGGACCATAAGGAATCATTTATATTTGGTAACCTCCCATTCAGCTTCCATCACAGCAGCTCACAGTCTGTTTCTCAGGCCACAGCAGCCCAGGATCTCCTAAAAAGTACTTATAATGAAAAGTCTTATCTGTATATATCTCTATGTATCTCCTAGCTCTGGCACCTCTAGCAGGTTTCAGAGGGAGGCTTGGGCAAGGAAAGCTTTGGCTGCTCTGTGCAACTTCTGCTCATGAAGAGTGCTACAAACCTCTTAAGGCTGTATTATGGTTGTGGGGACATTGAGTACCAATAAATACCCCTTTGATAACAAATGCCTACCTTTGGCAAGACTCTCAGTATTTCCTAATAATATGACAATCTCAAGGAAATTGTAAGAAAATGCATTGAAGGTGGAATTGAGAAACTGGACATATTTTAAAAGAAACATCTACCACTCATCCCACTGCGGAGGGGCATTTCCCACTACCATGTACCAGACTAAAGAGCTACAATATTTACATACTTAAGATTGCAATCTTTAAAAGCTTATAGCTAAAATTTTGGAAAAATAGTTCAAGGGCATTGCCAGTGTTTTGGCTCTTTGCACTGGCAGGGAAGGTGTGATATAAAAGCCTTAAGTCGTCTGAGAGAGAAATTTCCTCACAACTGAACGTAGCAGTCAGTTTAACCCCATCAGCCTGGCACACAAATTTAAAGCTAAGAGCATCCATGTACCATGCCTATGTCTTGACTCAAACTGGCCAGTCTCCAGTGCTTTGGAAGAAAGAAGAATTGAAATGAAATTCCAAAGCCAAACGTTATATCGAGAAGGAAAGCATTATAAGCTCAGACTATGCCTTAGCCTTAGAGATTGAACCGTAGGAATTTCACCTAAAAGCAGTCACTATAATGGCTGTGCACATTCCTCCCACGACCTAAAGAAAATCAGTAAAAGATTCTGTTTCTTTCCTTCCTTTTTTATACTTGCACCTCTCTCCTAGATCGAATGTTCCCTCTGTAGGCACAGCCTTTTCTACAGCTTTTCCCAGTTCAAAAAGAAGTAAAATGAAGCGTTTTTATAATTAATTGTTGTTATTATTATATCAAGAAATTGAATTTCTTCTGCTCTGTTTTTAATATATTGGATGATCCATAGCTTATCAGTAAATTTCTTTCTTTTGCACTTGCCTCTACAGTCATAGGTTTAGGGATATCAGGCTAAACCTGATTCAGAATATTCTGCATTTATAACTCATCGGTTAGGAACTTTTTTTTTCTTTTCAAACTCATGGGAGTTTTCCAGTGATGATATTTTGAATGTGAACCTATTCCCTCATTTGTACAATTATGGATTGAGGGAAACAAAACTGCCTTTTTTGTCCCTGTGCATTTCTGCTATCACCAATGTCCCCTGACCCCCATCTCCTTTGCTGGGTTTGTCTGCAGCACTAGGCTCCATGTTACACTCATTTTCCCCTGACTAGATGACTGCTGTCTTCTCTCTTCCTGGTGCTTAAGGGATGAGTCCCCTCTGGGTTTTCTTTGTTTCTCAGTGAAACCACAGATTGAATCTCCTGCCATTACCCAGCCTCCAACTATCATCAAAACTGTCAAGAATGAATATGCTCAAGGTCATACATTTCTGATGAATTTGGCTGAAATCAAATGATGACTTCATAATATACCGGAAGAAAAAAGAGGACCAACAAAGACAAGCAGAAGCACAGACAGAGTATCTCTCAAGCCTCATTTCCTTAAGAAAATAAGATAAAAGTATTTGCATTGAGGCTTTCTAAGAAAACAAAGGGCTGTTCTTTTTATTCTTCTATATTAATGCTATTAAAATTAATTTAGTTTTCATAATTGCTTAAGTTTGACAGTTCTGGAAATTAAATGTTTCTAGTGTCAAAACAAGCACAATATCAGTAAAGGGCATGATCTCTATTGTGTCCCACCAACAAGTTTCTTGTCTGTCCTGGTAAACCACTGCAAAATGTGAAGGGAAAATGGTACTGTTTCAAAACAAGTTTGCTTTTCTTTTTTTCTGTATCTGATAAGTTTCCAAAGTAGTGTTCTAAATCTGTAGGTGATTTTGATCACATGGACCTTCCTGTAGAGCATAAATAATGTTGGTGCTGTATTTTGGGTGCTTTTTTTTATACCTATCTATGAAGCAGCTGTTTATTCACATAGCATTTATTCGGCTCATTTTTTAAACTCATTAGTTTGACTGCTTCATAAGTGGATGAAAAATATAATAGTTATTAGGTGATAAATGACTGAGATTTCTGTGACTATTTTCAGGGAGACCATGGAATTAGAGGCTATCCTGGGCCCCCGTGGCCACCAGGAATAGGAACCATTGGTCCCAAGGTTGGTATGATGCTGTGATGAAGTTTTTGTGCTATTTGGTGATTCTGGCTGCCAGACTCTGGTCTTTCAGACGCCTAAAGATCTTCATCAGTTATTGATTTATATTGGTGCAACTGCAAGAGGAATCAAGCACGAAAACATGGTCACTAACCATACGCTTCTACCAACCAAATTAGGAAGGGGTCCTAACAGGATAAAAATTGCATTTTCAGCTAAACTTTATGAGACTACAGCTGGAAATTGAACAGAGCTATTAAACTGGTAAATCAGTTAAAAGATGCATTTCTTCTGCTGGTATCTATCCTGTTTCCAAGACATTATTTTGTGGTGGAAAATACATTAAATGTGAATTTTATGTTGCAATTTTTACTCAAATCAAATTCAATTAATATGATTAGTAAAACCATTAGGAAAGAAACATGAAAGCAAAATGCTAATTCTATAAGAAAAAAGCATGCAACATCTGGGCAATTTTTTCTCCCTGCACTAGAGTGATTTATAATTCAAAAAAGACATACTGAGAAGAAAAGAAGTGCTGTACTTATCAGGATTTCCTTATTGCAGGTGTATCCATCAATTATTTTTACAAAGGCAATGAGGAGAAACATTCTGTGTATTTCTCTGTGTTAATTTAATTTAAAAATAGTTATGACTTTTTAACTTTTCTAGAATTAGCAGAGAGTAACAGAAGTCTCCACTGCCCTTTTGTATAAACTAGTATCTGAATTAAGACACATTGCTGCTACCAACCCCTTACAGAAATGCAATAAGCGAGAGAGCATTTTAGGATGTGACTGATTTCCTTTGTTTCCCGAAAGCTGCAGCAGTTTCAGTACCTTGGTAAATCATACTGACACAGCCTGTTTAACAATAGTAAGTTTGGACTGAGTGTCAAAATGCTACAAATGTGTGACACTCTGTGCTATTACCACAAAGCCTTCAAGAATTAAAAATGCTAGATTAGCCTGCCTGCAAAGCACTAGGGCTTTACCTGACTTTGACTGTATCGGCACAAATCAGCAGATCCCACTTGATCCTTGCCCTCCCACTTAAGATTTTCTGAATGACTGGTGCTCCCTAAGACAGTGGCACCACAGGGTCTTGGCATATCTACATCGTGCACAAGAACTAGCTAACATGCCTGACAGATTTACTTTCACTCTGGTCCTTTGTGCTTCTACTGTTATACCTCTCTTGTGTGGAGGGATTATAGGAAGCCATTGTATAAAGATGTTTTTTGTTGTCTTCTGTGTGGGGAAAAAATGGGGAAAATATCATACTATGTCATGAGCAACTATTATTTTTTAATTATTTTAAGCTTAATTGTTTCTTTGCTTCCCTAGGAATTTGCCAAAGATAATTACTAAGACCCACACTGAGAAACCATAAACCAAAGAGGAATCAGAACTAGTCTTTGACATGGTTTTACTTTTTGCTTGCAGTGACTTTGAGATGACTTCTTTAGTGTTACCAGGAGTTCACCTCCTAATTCTTCTTTTTTTTGCCTCACTGTTATAGGGTATTATGGGACAGAAAGGCTTGCCTGGTCCACCTGGACTCCCTGGCAACAGCATACAAGGAAGTAAGGTAATCCAGCTTAAACTGGTATCTGTCCAGTTTCTTCTTAAAACTGACTCTTGAGGAGATTGATTGTCTTTCTTCCTCTTTGTCACTGAGTAGGTGAATGCCTGCAATATTTCATTTTACACTTAAGTTTCTTATTCATAAATTACGTACTATTTACTTTATCTGCTGAGTTTTCAATTTTGTTTGCACCCAATTGCTTTCCTACTGTTCTTGTCATGGCAAATATACTTAACCTGGAAAACTACACTCATCTCTGCCATGTCTTACTGATTTACTTAGATTTAAAGGATAGTTTTAATTTTTTATTAAAGGAAAGTTTTTATTCACCCAGTTCCTGCCATAGCCACGACTTCTCTCCCTATAAACAGAAACACAAATACGACAACATATTCTGGACATTCAAAGTTATTAAACTGCCTTGTCATAAATACGTAGAAGAAATTATTAAAACTGGAGGCTCTAGTGGAGAACAACCCAAGTTTCTCTTGTTTTTGTTAAATCAGTGTGCTTAAAATTGAGTTTTTGGTGCAATATGTTCCTGATCAGGGGTATTGTGCTCAGATCTCCAAGTCTAGGTTGTCAAATTACCAGTAAGTCAGTGAAAGGGGCATTGTTCTACATGGTTTAGAAAAGGTGCCTCTCTGTCCTGTGATTTGCTGTAGACACTAAAGCCACTGTGGAATTCACTGACAAACAGGTCTTCATTGGAAAATAATGACATTCTGAATAAAACAAACAAATTTATAAAAATGTCTATTGTTTGAAAAATCATCTGGAGGAGAATCTTTCTTTGGTTCATTGTAGAATTACTTCATACAGGCTTTGCCAGAAAAGCACAGGTTCCTTTGGACTTTATTTTGTTCAGGACTTGCTTTGAGTCCATTTTTAATGTCTTCCATTTTTATATTTCTGTTCAATCATTTCCCTTTTTACTCTGCAGAGAGTTCCTTTTTTTCATTGTGAGGTGTTTCATAGCACAAAAGCTTTCTTTATTATGTTCTTTCTTTTCCCCTTATTGCATAAGTCACTTTCGTGGGTTCTGATTTATTTTGTTTCCAGGCTTTCCTAGAGAGAGAGATATCTCTATGCATTTAAGAGTCATGACTGTCTAGACATTGTTTCTGATCCATTTGCAGTTTGCCTCTATATTAATTAACAGTAACCACAAAGCTATTACATATTTTAATGTGAGGACATAACTTCTTGTCTTCTTTTCTTTTCTCCCTTTTTTTGTTGAATCTCTGAAGGCTCCTTGCTCTATTCTTGTGAAAACCAGAAAAATTTGTGTCACCTATAGGAAAACAATTTCCTACCTGTCTTTAATAACCATTTCTGCTGTATTTCCAGAATCTAATCTTTGTTAATTCCATGGGTATGTGAGGTTATTTATAAAAGCATAATCACCATTCTGAACAGAAATGTTTCAGCAATCAAATGCATCAGATGACACATGATAAAATATATAAATTATGTAATTTTTGTTTGTGAGAAAATATAAACATCACCCAAAATATTCTCACATCTCTCTATCTACATATCTATGTATTTACATACCTCTCTCTATATATATGTGTTTAGATACACATAGATGTATGTTTGGATGCTGTGTTGGTAATTCTATGAATACATATCTAAAACATACTTTAGGAGTATAGAAAACTCGGTTTTATTATGCAAATTTTCCAGTACAAGAGTACAGTTCACTAACACACAGTAAGACAAATGTATGCTTGTAAAGTAAGGATGTGGAATTTAGGGATGTTGGAAAGTTACGGAAGGTCTTTGTCATTGGGTTTGAAACCAAAACTGTGATGATGTAGTGGATGAAACAGCTGGTGTTGTCTCTGTAGCACCCCATAAGTTGTATGAGTACAGTCTTGCCATTTCAATTTTCTTTCCTTAACAAGTGCTTTTAAAAATTATGATTATTTTTATATAATTCTTAAGAATAGCTTATTTCTGAACAGCTTTGGCAAATTGCTCTGGTGTACCTGTTTCCTCCATATACTGATGCCTGCTGATCTTCTATCTGTCTGTTTTGTCTTTCTGTCTCTTCACATGTCAAGATTCATTCTTTTTGGCCACTCTTCATCAGCTTAAAGCTACTGTCTTCCTGAATTTGAACTATCAATATCACTCCAGGTATTTTTTCATATATAGTAAGAGATCTCAGTGTGCACATGGTAAGAATGGAATGCAAAAAATGAGATGGGTTTCATGTAACTTTATGTTGATAGCCACATTTACAGGTTTTCTTTTTTTATGCTTTATTTCCTTTCAAAACCGCAGTCTAGACATAGTCAAATCTGCACTCAGTTCATAGAATGACATTTTTGTGTAGAAAACTGATTATTGGTCTATAATATAGCGGGATATTAGGGTCAGGGATTCAAGGGTTTGCATTTTTACATGCATACCACTTTTTTTTTATGGTAAGGCTGATGGTCAAGTTTGAATTTAATTATGCACATGGGTTGAACTGGCAAAACTATAAATATTTTAAATTAATACAGCATACTTCTGGGGTTTTACTAAATGGTCTGTTATGGCATCTATGGTAAATTCTTCTAATGATGATTGATTGCACAAGTAGTGGAAGCAGGCTTTGGTTCTGCAGTTGACATTTTAAAGGATGAAACTCACACATGTGCTTGCGAGAAATATCACCTGTAAAGCCATGAATTTGTCTAGAACAGTAGGCCTTGTTCAGTTTTCGTTGCCTGAACACCATCCTAACAGTGTCAAATGGGCAGTAACAAACAGCAGCAATAAATCTATAGCTTCCTTGGATCTGACATTTATTATTAGTGAAGGATCACTGGAATACACACCATATCTTAATTCTAGTCCTTGTATATGTGCTCTGCAGACCTGCAAAGGTGTTGGTCAGGAAGCTCTGTGATGGCCCTAACCAGGAAAGATAGTCAAAGCCACTGCTGAACAGCAAGCCTTGAAACATGATGGCACGCTGTTTCACTATGTTTAAAAGTCATTAATCCCTAAATGAAGGGCCCAAGAAGAACAGTCCTGCTAAAAAGTGACTTAAAGTAGATTAAATAGTCACTATGAGTTCCTACAACAGTGCAAAAGAAATTGCTTTGTGCATCCCATTGCCTTAGGAGTATTTCCTATTTGCAAGAAATTTGGGTTTTGCCCCTGGTGCATTAGGTGTGCAATTTGGTGCATGACAGTTTGTTTTTCAGTCTCCAGAATCTACATAACAGTGTCTGAATTTTTGCTGCTGTAAGAAACTGGGGAGAGGGGAACGGGAGAAATTCTGCTTACAGAGGCAAGAGGCTGACAGTTAGCAGGTCAGTGATACACAGCCTCAGTGATAAGCAGAGCGTTTTAGCTCCCTGACTTAGGGCTACTGGACCAAGAGGCTCCCAAAGGGCAAGGCTGTAAAGGCTTTGCTCCAGTGGAGGTGTGAACAGTGGAATGTAGTGGGCACCTTCCTTTAGCACAAGGCGAGACCACAATCACACATGTGCAAGCAGAAGCTTCCACATCAGCAGGATCTCAGTCAAATCTGGAATTTGGACAGGGGAAACCATCCACAGACATGACTCATAGTACACTGCATCTTCAAGGAGCTGCATCTCCTTGCCTGACTCCTGGTGAACTCCCAGCTCATGGGAGTCAGAAGCCCTTAATACCAGGAAGAAAAGGCAGACGTGGCTGTGCACTGTGCAGCTGTTTCTCCACCTGCAGAAATCCATAAGCCCCTGTCCAGCACACCAGAAATGGTCAGTGGCCAGTCCTGCTGCACTAGTGCACCTTTGGTAAAGGCTGGAGTCTTGATACTTGGAAACATTTCTGTGTTTCTCTGCCCATTATGAGCAATACGACCCTTTAGACCCATTTGTGAGCAGTAATACAAGTATTGGTAATAGATGCTTTAGTGGGACAGTCTGAGAGCTCTTGACTGAAAAACAGAACTGATTAACCTTGGACTTGCATCTCATGGGGTAGGTTTGGTACAGGTGACAACTGCTCCTGATCTCATTGGCATTCTCTGTAGCTGGTTCTGCTATCTGCACCAGGCACTGCTGTTATGTCAATTATGTATGTATGTAACATGAACTATGGTGAAGCATTTGAATCATATGATTCTATGACTTATGTACCAGGGAATATAACCACATCTAGTTGAATTTAAAAAATGCATACAGCAGCTGATCTGGAAAAAAAAAAATGTGTTGCCCTATTATTAAATAAAACAAGAAAGTTTTGGAAGCCAGATGCTGTGATGAATTTTCTCTGTATTTTAGATAATAGCTGTGTTTTATAATGTTGTATGACCATATTGCTAGCATGGACATGCTTTTCAAGTCTGTGTGCATGCAGCAGGGCATGTGGAACAATCATTACAAACAAATTTGAGCTTTGTAACTAAAATAATACTGCCTTCTGAAGTATCAGCAGAAAGATGTTCAGCTCCACACACTGTGAAAAGTAGAGATGTCTTCTTATTTACTTAAGAGGAGAAAAACGAATTCTGGGTGTGTATTTTTAGAGAACCGTTGCATTGGATCTCATTTTACTGCTTGTAGACAGGATGAAATAACTGTCTGAGCCTCAGTGAGCTTTCATTTGTTTCATTTCATTTGTTCCAGTGAAATGACAATTTTCATTTAGTTAATCAGGAATAATTCTTCATTATATACTTTAAAAGGTTTCATGTATGTTCTGAATGATAGTCACTTGCTTATTTCTCCATAGTCAGACCACTTTTATCTTGAAAATTGTGTGCTTCGTTGCATAATACAAATATCTGGCTTTCTCTTTGATGCAGAATGTTCTAAAGTAAACAGAGACAACATAGATTTTACTTTAATTTTCAGTTAAAATTAAATTCCATATTTTGTTCAGGGAGAAAAAGGAAATCAAGGTTTTCAAGGACAGAAGGGATCAGTAGGAATTGGCCTTCCTGGACCAAAGGTAAATCCCAGGTTTTGTTTGACTCCTGTATTTTTTCTACAATGACTGAAGCCCAAGCCTGAATCTTTCCTTACTGAACAACTTCCTTGATACAAAAATTGTGAGAATTTTCTGCATTCAACTATTCACATCTAACAAATTTTGAGCAAAGAAAATTTAAATACCTTGTCTATTTATCAGAGATTCTCCAATGTGCAGCTTCTGGTGGGAGCTGCCTGACCAAATAAAACCAAGGCTCCTGGTCAAAGTGGATGTGCAGAGCAGCTCTGCACATACCCAAGTGACAGGAGTGTGCCCAGGGGGAATGAGTGTTGATGTAAATGCATGATGCAGTAAACCTGCTTTAACTCATGGCATATGCCTGGACTGGCTGGGCAACCCCTCTACAATAATTGCAAAATAGATGAAATATTGCATTTATTATGAAGGCTGTGTCTGAAAAGCCTGAGGAAGAAAACTGACATGGCAATATTCAAGGGAAAGCAGAAATGGTCGTGCTCCCTAACTTTTAAGTTACCCAAAGAAGAGTTCAGTCCCCTCTCTAGTCACCTGAGGCAGGCAGTACTCATTCAGAGCACCAGCCACGTGTTGCCTGCAGTAGTGGTGTTCATGGCATTATGATCTACACTAGCTCACATTATATAGCACTTTCTGAGACTTATTCAAGCTACTGCAGCTTGGAGTTTTTATGCAACAACGAATACCAAGCTCTTTCACACAGATAAAAATTTCTGCCTCCTAATTCTATTTTCTCTCACATGCCAAGTGCCACATACTATAATAATAACTGAAATATTTTTACTGACCTTTATATTCATCTTGTATATTGATTAGTCTTTGTGGCCCAATTTAAATCTCTCCAAATACTCACTTATCTGTTTATTATTAATACAACAGACTTGTCACAGATGAAAAGGAATGGTTTAGTTCAGCAGGAATTTCATATATGTGCTAAATACCAAAGGGATCAGGTTTTAGTATGTTTATGTGTAAGAGAGTAGCAGCACCACAGCAGTCAGCAGACCGTATTTGCTTTCCTATTATAATTAATGCTGACATTAACTTTGATGAGGTTAGATTCAAGTGATGGACAGGTAATAAAAAGTGATATCCTTCGCTTTTGATGTTATGATTTTGTGATATAGAATAGGAACTGTCTTTCAAGAGCTTACTTAGTTGAGACTGGTTTTCTTAAACCAGCTGTGGAGCAGCTACATTCAATTTTCAGGTTTATACCAGCTTGAATAAGACCAGAATCAGACTGAGAGAGTCAAAAGGGTTCCTTAAAATAGGTACC